CACACTTTTCGGTGTCTGACTCTGATACCATTTGTAATAACTCAAGCCCATCGCTAGTAGATGTTGTCCGTATTGGCTTGTTACGTATCGCCGTCAGGTCCATAGTTTTAAAATGCGTCTACTAGAAGAGAGCTTTTCACACCCTGGTAGAGAATGCTTCGTTCCTCTCTACAACCAATGTGGGATCTCACAATTCACCCCCTTTGAGACCAGCTTTCATGGCTTTTATACTATTTGTAACAGCCCAAGCCAGATCTCATAATCCACCCCCTTTAGGGGCCAGCTTTCATGGATTTCTACACCCTTAATGTTTCGTTCCCCTCTCCAACCGATGTGGGATCTCACAATCCACCCCTTTGGGCCCAGCTTTCTCGTTGGCACACCGCCCAGTGTCTAACTCTGATACCATCTGTAATCGCCCAAGCCTACTGCTAATAGATATTGTCCGCTTTGACTCGTTACATATCGCTGCCAACCTCATGGTTTTAAAACACGTCTACTAAGGAGAGATTTCTATACCCTAATAAGGAATGTTTCGTTTCCCTCTACAACCGATGTGGGATCTCACAATGCACTCATCTTGGGGGCCTAACATTCTTGCTGGCAGACAACCCAGTGTTTAGCTCTGATACCATTTGTAACAACCCAAACTCATCGTTAGTAAATATTGTTCACTTTGGCCCATTACTTATCGTCGTCAGCCTCACGGTTATAGAATGTGTCTAGTAGGGAGAGGTTTCCACACTCTTATAAGGAATAATTCGTTTCTCTCTCCAACCAATATGGGATCCGATGGATTAAACAAAAACCTTTTAACCAAAAGTTTAAGGTAATAAACTTGAGCAAACCTGTCGTAGATGACAACACTGAGGAGCATGGAGATGGTGACAAAGGCAGATAAACTGGCAGGAGGGATTTGGAAGTGGCTACCTACGCTTCTGTCAAGAGTGGTGCCTTGCTTGATGAAAAGGGTGTGCGTTTGAGCCAACATAGTGCTTGGAATGAACGTGCAGACAAGAATTGGGATCATTTTCAGTATCTGCTTTGTCTCTTCCACTTGGGTCACTGAACATAGCTTCCATGGTTCAGTTGAACCTGTTCTTATAGCAGCCTTGTTCAGGAACCTACATATAACATTCAATCATCCAACCCGGCGTGTATATAAGTGTAATAGTCCAAGCCCACCGTTAGCAAATACTATCTTCTTTGAGCTTTTCCTTTTGAAGGCTTCCCCTCAAGGTTTTAAAACGCGTTTGCCAGGAAGAGTTAGGAATACTTCGTTCCTCTCTTCAACCGATGTAGGATCTCACAATCCACCCCTTTGGAGGGCTCAGCATCCTCGCTGCCACATCGTCCACTGACTTACTTTGATACCATTTGTAACAGCCCAAGCTCACCGTGAGCCGATACTATTCTCTTTGGGTTTTCTTTTCATACTTCCCTTCAAGGTTTTAAAACGAGTATGCTAGAAAAAAGTTTTCACACCCTTATCAAAAATGTTTTGTTTAACTCTTGAACCGATGTGAGATCTTACAATCCACCTATTATAAGAAATACTTAGTTTTAAAGCCTATAAATCTCGGAAGAAAAAGCTCAAAGAAGACAATATCTACTAGCGGTGGCTTAAACCTTTACAGTAAGAGAGAACAATGGTCACCTCAACGATGAAGTGGAGTCGATCCGAAAAGCTCGTTCCACGGAGTACTTTTCAAAATCAAGCTCATGAAGTTCTTTTGGGTCATTAGGAAGAGGAAGCCTCCAATTCCTAGCAGCAGCAACAATGACATTAGCCATTCTAGTGAAGGGGCTGCCTCTGGGGAGCCTGTGTCTGTAAAAGGGAGTGCCAGCCACAAATATGAGAATGGAAACAGCAAGGCCAATAGTGGGTAGGCCATAGCCCAAGCTCCACCCCACATTGTCCTGAATGTAAACCACACCGGTGGTGGCAAATAGACTGCCAAAGAAGATACTGAACATCCACCAGTTGAAGAAGGACAGCTTTTGTGCCTTCTCTTTTGGATGGAAATCGTCGAATTGGTCGGCTCCGATCGTCGAGATGTTCGGCTTTGTCCCGCCGGTGCCAAGAGCTAGAATGTAGAGTGCACCGAAGAAAACCGCAAGCTGGAGTTTCGAGGCTTGCTTGCAGTTTCCTTTGTTGACTTCTAAACATGGTGGCGGTTTTAAACTCGGTATTGACACTGCTAAAGTTAGAAGTCCCATCGCCTGTGAATTCAATAATATTATATATCTTAATTAGTTGAGTTTATTAAAAAATATATTTTTTTTTTATTAAAATAATGCTCAATTTTGTTTTAATAATATAAAAAAAAAATTAAAGAATTAAAGCAGTTTATTGACATGCATAGTTGTAGCTCGTAATGGAATAAGTTGGAATAAATATTTTACATTATATTTAAAAAAAAATTAAGAGGTAATATAATATTTTTAGACCATTATGTCCCTCTCCTAGAGGCACGATTTCTTTGTCCCTTTACTAGAGACACTCTTTCTCGAAACCATAAAATAAAAAAATAATGACTCAGCATACCCTTCTAGTTGTGTCTATTTAGTTTTCTATTTATAAAAAGATGGAAATGACTGAAATATTAGAACATACCATTAGACATATGGTCGAGGCGATCATAAAGGTCCGATACCGACCGAGATGAGCGTCCGCAATGTAAGCTCCCAAGATGGGCATTATCCAAACAGTTCCAGACCAATTGGTGACATTATTAGCCGATGCTACGGTGCCTTGATGCAGCTTCCTTGTCAAGTATAATATTAGATTTGTCGATATTCCATGATACGCCATCCGTTCGAATACTTCATATACTGTCATTAATCCACAACAAAAAAGTCAATTCCCATTCAACCGTATAGACGCTTATGACCTCTTCTCTGTTGGATGATGAAAGTCCCACATCGGTTAATTTAGGGAATGGTCATAGGTTTAATCTAAGAATACAAACTCCATTGGAATTGAGGCCTTTTGGGAAGCCCAAAGCAAAGCCATGAGAGCTTATGCTCAAAGTTGACAATATCATACCATTGTGGAGAGTCGTGTTCGTCTAAATATGCGACAGGGTATTGTAAGTGGCAGAGTGGCCTTGCTGCCACGATCCACTGAGATTCAGCCCTTCGTCGCTCCGATTAATTTTTTATGTTCAAAGTGGACAATATTATACCATTGTGGAGAGTCGTGTTCGTCTAACATGGTATCAGAGTCATGCCCTAAACTTAGCCGTGCCAATAGATTGACAAATCCTTAAATGTCGAACAAAGGACTCCAAAAGGAGTCAAGCCTCCTCGAAGGTACGAAGGCAGTAAAAAATGACTAAGACTCCAAAGGAGTCGAGCCTCGATTAAGGGGAGGCGTGCTTTGTTCGAGGGGAGGTGTTGGATGATGAAAGTCCCACATCGGCTAATTTAGGGAATGATCATGGGTTTATAAGTGAGGAATACTAACTTCATTGGTATGAGGCCTTTTGGGAAGCCCAAAGCAAAGCCATGAGAGCTTATGCTCAAAGTGGACAATATTATACCATTGTGGAGAGTCGTGTTCGTCTAACACTCTCAATGACGGAGAAACAGGTACATAGAAGAAGAACGAGAGAAAATTGTTACCAACGATGAAGGAGCAAGCTTTCCAACAGCCGGTCTTGGAGCGGAGGACGGGATTAGCATGGAGATCGACGGTTCCATCTTTGGTGTAGCCGTCGAGGCCAGTTTCTTGTACGGACGCCATTAATGGAGACGTAGAGATCTCAAGCTATCCCTTGGGTTCCAGAAATGTTGAGTTTGCTTGAAACTTGACCCTTTTATATACGCATCCATCCACCAAACACTCAAAAATATTTTTTTATTAAATTAAAATTACTTTTAAAAATCATTCTTTCCTTTACACTATAAACTTTACAAAATAGTATTCGTATCTTAAATTTTAAAAATAAAAATAAATTTAATAACTCAATTTTTTTTTACTCGCTCCTTTAACCTCATTGAGACTTTCGATTAATTCAGAGAATGATCATGGTAAAAACTTAGTCATATATCATGGTATTAGAGTCATGCCCTAAAAACTTAGCCATATCAATAAAATCATCAAATGTTGAATAAAGGACTCCAAAAGAAAGGAGTCAATGCTCCTTGAAAGTATAGTAAAACATGTCCAAGACTCCAAAAAGAGAAAGGAGTCTAGCCTTGATTAAGGGAAGACGAACTTTGGCGATGAGAACTTAGGCTCAAAGTGGACAATATTATACCATTGTGAAAAGTCGTGTTCATCTAACATTTATCACCACACTTTTCCCTTCTCCGTTTTTTTCACTCTTCTTAAATATATATATATATATATATATATAAAATATATATATATATAAATATAAGAAATTTGAGTATCCAAATAATCAATAAAATTACTTTATTTTCATTTTTTTTTTCACATTATTACTAAAAAATACATTTATTATGTATAATTATTAAATAATTCTATAAATCGATTCCTTAACAAGTACAAATTAAATTAATTATTTACATTCTGCGTGGCTTTAACAAGTTTGGAAGGGATCGAAAAACTCTAATTAAATATTAATTATCGAATAATATGAGATGGCTTTATCATAGATATTAAACGTGAACAATAATTATAAGAATATTTCCAAAATCCAAACTAAAAATTACAAAATTAACGTTAATCCATCTCAAAAAGAATGATTATAAAATTCACAATTTATATTTTCGATTTTTTTTTGCCCCAACTTCTCTAAATTGATAATTTAAAAATAAAATTGAGTCCTATCGTAATTTTAACGGTATTAATTAGCTATTTCAACTTAACGTGTGAGATATTTTAAAACAGACAAGTGGGTAATTATAAAAATATATAACGATCATAATTTTTGCTGTACTAACAGTTCTTACTTACCATGTGAGATGATTTAAAAACGACAAGTGGGTACAAAATTATGTTTTGTTTAGAAGACATCGATATTAGAATTACGCATTTTTTTAATGAAAATTTTAGTCTATAGTTTAAACGACCTGTCACATAGAGGAAAGAAAAGGTGACTATTAAAGATAATTATAGCATGGTAAGATTGGTCAACGATTAAGACCAGTGCTGATTTATTTATTTTTTAATTTTGAAGCCTAAATTAAAGCAAAAGTCATACACAAAGTTTACTTTTATGAGAAAAAGGCATCCATTTTTCGTTTTTTGTTTTTTGTTTTGGTCGTTTTGTAGCTGAGAGTTGACTTAAAAGTCAGCTGGAAGCAAGACCATGATAAAAGGAGGGAAAAAAGGCTCCAAGTTGGGTGTTATTTATAATTTTCAAAATTAAAAATATATATATATTTTCGAGGTAGCTTTGAAGGGGAAAAATATGGATAATTATTGTACTTTGATTAATTTTTATTATAATTATATATTTTTTATTTTCATGTTGAGTGTTTACTTTGGAAACATATTCTTTAAATTGGGATTTTTTTTAAAAAAACTTAAATCTTATTATTATTATTATTTTTAATTTAGTTGACATTTCTTTAAAAATTGTTTAGTGTTTTGTTTAAAAAAAAAATTATTTTTCTTTAAAAATTAATTTAAAAACAAATATTTGGACGAGGGATAGCGCGTGATTGTAAATAAAATACTTGATTTTTTTTTGTGAAGATTTGAGCTATTCAATCCAAATCATAAAAGTTGAGTTCGGTGAGATTTTTTTTTTTTCGATTTGGGTTGAGTTAAAAGTTCTGAATAGTTGTTATAATCCTAGGACTAAGTTAGTTGAACGAGAAAATTATTGGGTTAAAATTGATGGTAAAAATTCATTGGACCATAATCGTGAACATGTATTTTGTTGGTATTTGATATTATAGATTATCGGTAGAGGTGTTCGTGAGTTAAGTTTGATCAGGTTGATATATTATTTAGGCTGCGTTGAAATGGTTCGAGGATTGTTAAAGAATAAATAATTAAGGAATTAAATATTAACAAACAATTATGAAACTAAATAATTAAGATAAATATATATATATAACAATAAACTTAAATTGTGATATTGTAATTTAAAATTAATTATCCTTTTAAGGTTCAGTTTTGTAAAATAATTTAAATAACTTAAAATATTTGGCCAACTTATCAACGGTGCGGGGATAGCTCAGTTGGGAGAGCGTCAGACTGAAGATCTGAAGGTCGCGTGTTCGATCCACGCTCACCGCATAAATTATTTTCTTTTTATCTAGTACTTGAGGCTATTGGGCTTTGAAGAAGCAAAAGCTTGGCCCATTTGTTTTGTGGATAAGGCCTACTTTTTCGTGTTATGGGCCTATACCAGCGTCTAAATCCGGCCCTTAATGAGCCTTGAGGAAACAAGAGGGCAGGCCCATTAAGCAATGACCTTACAACATTGCCTTCTGCTATTAAAACCCTAGAATCCTCGTTCTTGCATTTCTCCATCGCTGTAAACCCTTTCACGGTCGCCTTCTATGGCGTTATCCCTTCTTCGAGTTATGGCTTCCGCCTCCCCCTCCTCCGCTCGCCTCCCTCTTGCTCATAAACGCCTCTTCTCCGCCTCTAAATCTCTTACACGTCCTCCTTCTCCTCCATCTCTCAATCTCGCCCGTCGATCTCTTCCTCTGCTTTCCCATTCCGTTCGATCCACAACGTGCGCCCCCTGGCTTACCTCGATTCGTTGCCGTGTTAATCGGTCTGGTAACTCCGGTTACGCGCCTCTTAACTCAAACTCCAACTTCAGTGATCGTCCACCCACTGAGATGGCGCCACTTTTCCCTGGCTGTGACTATGAGCATTGGCTCATCGTGATGGACAAGCCTGGTGGTGAGGGTGCCTCTAAGCAACAGATGATTGACTGCTACGTTCAGACCCTCGCTAAAGTTCTTGGCAGGTACTTGGAAGGATATAATGTTTTTTTTCTTCTTAATTTGGTTGCGTGTTTACGCTGATTTCGGCTGTGTTTTGTGATTTCAACAGTGAAGAGGAAGCGAAGAAGAAGATTTATAATGTTTCTTGTGAGAGGTATTTTGGATTTGGGTGTGAGATTGATGAAGAGACCTCCAATAAGCTTGAGGGTATGTGTTATGATCTTTAAATTTCTTCATGTGCCCTAACATACAGACCGTCGTTTCCTTTCTCGCACTCTAGTAATTTATGTTGCATTTGCACTTATCATATTGAAATTGTGAAGCTTGTACCAATGATTTTTGTTTGAATCTTTGCGAACAGGCTTGCCTGGTGTTCTCTTTGTTCTTCCTGATTCTTACGTCGACCCTGAGTATAAAGACTATGGGGGTAAGCATATGATGCTTTAAATGTTTTGTTTTTTGCTGTTCATTAAAAACCCAATCAAAGAATTCTTGACAGTCAATGACTTTGATATCTAGGAGGTTCATCTTGGCAAAGTTGCTTTCAATAAGTTGTTTGCTTTACAGATGAAACATGATCTATGTTTATATCATTCGTAGATTTGCATTCTGGCTAACCATCTTTGATCTTATGTTCACATTTTATAAATATGCTCATGATAGCTTAAGAAATGCGTGAAACATGATTTTGGACTTAAATAAGATAAGCTATGATAGAGTCCATCTTGGCAAAGCTAAATCAGCCTTTTAGCAATG